CACACACTCACACACACACTCACTCACACACACTAACTCACACTCACACACACACTCATACACACACACTCACTCACTCACACACACTCACTCACTCACTCACTCACACACACGTGTAAACTTCCGTCTGGCCTTGAAGTGTCTCTGCATCTGTTCTGCTCTCGTTTCTAACCCAATCAAAGCCATCACAACTATTAAACGTCTCAGACCGGATTCACTCACATCACACACAGGTCTGGGTCAGCCTCACTAACCAGGTGTGTGTTTCTGATTCATTTCAAACGAACATCATGAAGCAAACACGGAATCAGAGAAGACAGCTTGAGCTGTTCAGTGCAGCTCTCACTTTGACCTGACTCACTCTCTGCTGGTGTCTGTTTCCAGAACACTACCCGTCAACTAAAGAAACCCTTAACCCACCCACCGTTTCTCTAAACTACCCGCGCCATATCTAGTGTGCCGATAAACATCTGAAGAAACACCCGCTGTTTGGACCTGAGAATCAGAGTCAGCGTGAGCAGAGACAGACAGATCCTCAGTGCTCCTGTGAGTCTCTTCTGCTTCCAGAACAACAACAAAAGAGATCTCTCTGTTCTTTTACTCAGAAAATAACCCCAAATATCAGCCGCACTGAAGGACAGACACAACAGTGATCCGGTGAGGGCCTGACACGGCCTGCTGGTCATCAGATCTGGAAGAAGAACTCAGAAGTGAAGAAACAAATGACAACGCCTGTGCTTCGGCATATCTGAGGCTCTTGAGCTCACAGTCTTTCCTCTGCAGCTCTGTCAGGAGAACACAGCCCACAGTAATCTTGTTCTGCAAACCACATTTTATCTCCTTCCTTCCCATTCACACTTTCTGCTGGCATCTGTTTCCAAAACACGATAGAAACCTGAAGTACAATGTGAGGTTGAGGGTGAAACCACAGCGGCGCTCTGAGATCTGATGACTTGTACATTTGTGCTTTTTTAATAGCATATTATATTTCTAAAGAAGCTTTTTTATTTACATGTATTCATTTATGCATGTTTAGTGTAAGAGAGTGGGAAACTAAAGTTATATATATTTTATATTTTGATATTAAAACAACTCCAATGAATAGACATTTGAAAAATGCATCATAAACTAAACCCTTAATCTACTGAACACAGGAATGTCTCGAGAACGTAAAGCACCTGCAGCTGCATCTGAACCGCATGAAGAGAGAAGCTTCACCGTTCAGTCAGACTCTACAGTGCTGTACATGAGCTCTCGGTGGAGAGCGCCACCTTGTGGACATTCGCACACATTCAGCTTGGTCTGTTTGAGAGCGTTTCAGAGCTCAACTGAGGCTTTCACTGATTGGTTGGTATGAGTGGCCTGACATCCAATGAGGTGAGCTTGGGGCGGGACTATCTACTTGACTGCCCAATGAGAGACGGGTTTGAGAAAACATGACGCACTTCCGCAGCTCATCTTTGACGTCCAGCGGTTTCACATTAAAGGGATAGTTCACCCAAAAATGAAAATGTGATGTTCAAAACTGCAACGGGTTGAGTTAAAAATCTCCGTTTGTCTTCTACTGAAGAAACAAAGTCACCTGCATCTTGAATGCCCTGGGGGTAAGCAGATAAACATCACATTTTCATTTTTGGCTGAACTATCCCTTAAGATGAACGTTTTAGTGACAAAATATGGGCAGTTTTCACCTCGCGCTCGCAGTTTTGATTATAATATAATAAAGATAATAATGTGTCAGTGTCTGTGCGCGAACAGCAGGCGGCGCTACTCAGTGCAGAACAATCCTGAGAACGAACAGATCTGATTCCATAGAACTATTATGTTTAACAGAACTTCACTACCTATAGACTATAAATAAAATATTTGTAATTATTTTAATTGTCCTCATTTGGATAAAAGCGTCTGCTAAATGACTAAATGTATTTTTCTCCCACTTGCTGATTCTGTTGTAGTAATTATTTTAGTAAAAACTCAGTCTGTAATGACTCATAACCGTTTATACTTACATTCTGTAATCTTTATTTAAATTAATTATGCCCTTTACATTTTTGTCTGAATTCGTGGACTTTTATTCTGTTTTATCCTCAGGCGCCGGCTTCCGGTTTCTCAGACACAGCGGCGGCAGCATGGGACCAGGAGCGAAAATAAACAGACCCAAAACTGTGAGTTTCTGCATCAAAACCATCCGCTTCTGCTAATAACTGTGCGTTTCTCTCATGTGTACGCCTCCTGTTTTATATTGGCTCCGTCAGACTTATTAAAACTCTGATTTTAATGCGTCGTAGAAGCACATGTTCACGGCATGTTTTCATCTCTTAATCACATTGATCCGAGGCTATACATGTGTGCTATGAACTATTAATACGGTAAAAAATAATTAAAATAAAACCGACTATAATTAACACTATGAAGTTGCATTGTCCTTTTGAATTCGAGCAAGGGTTTAGGATTGGCTTTCACTCCGACTCTGACACACAGTGCTGATGAAGCTGCTTGTTCTGCAGGAACTGGCCCAGAAGCTGTTCAAGAGACGCAGGGTTCTGAGTCAAGAGAAGAGACGGAAGAAGCGGATCGTGGGAGCTGTGATCGACCGGGACATCATCACCAAACACCATCTGAAGAAGAGGAGGTGCGTCTGCGTCTCTGAATAACACACACACACACACAGAGTAAGTTATTGAGTGCACTGACCGTGTTTGCTGTGTGTCCTCCAGCTCCAGCTCCAGAGCCAACATCACGCTCTCGGGGAAGAAGAGGAGGAAGCTGATCAAGCAGCTGGCGCGCATGGAGCGAGAGAAGATCGCTGGGGAAGGTACGGTGTTTCTGCTTCTTCAGTGCCACCATCTCCAGAGACCTGTCCTCACACACACTCACTCACTCACTCACACTCACACACACATACTCACTCACTCACACACTCACTCACACACTCACACACTCACTCACACACACATACTCACACACTCACTCACTCACACACACACACATACTCACTCACTCACACTCACTCACTCACACTCACTCACACACACATACTCACACACTCACTCACTCACACACACACACATACTCACTCACTCACACTCACTCACTCACACTCACTCACACACACATACTCACACACTCACTCACTCACACACACACACATACTCACTCACTCACACTCACTCACTCACACTCACTCACACACACATACTCACACACTCACTCACTCACACACACACACATACTCACTCACTCACACTCACTCACTCACACTCACTCACACACACATACTCACACACTCACTCACTCACACACACACACATACTCACTCACTCACACTCACTCACTCACACTCACTCACACACACATACTCACACACTCACTCACTCACACACACACACATACTCACTCACTCACACTCACTCACTCACACTCACTCACACACACATACTCACACACTCACTCACTCACACACACACACATACTCACTCACTCACACTCACTCACTCACACTCACTCACACACACATACTCACACACTCACTCACTCACACACACACACATACTCACTCACTCACACTCACTCACTCACACTCACTCACACACACATACTCACACACTCACTCACTCACACACACACACATACTCACTCACTCACACTCACTCACTCACACTCACTCACACACACATACTCACACACTCACTCACTCACACACACACACATACTCACTCACTCACACTCACTCACTCACACTCACTCACACACACATACTCACACACTCACTCACTCACACACACACACATACTCACTCACTCACACTCACTCACTCACACTCACTCACACACACATACTCACACACTCACTCACTCACACACACACACATACTCACTCACTCACACTCACTCACTCACACTCACTCACACACACATACTCACACACTCACTCACTCACACACACACACATACTCACTCACTCACACTCACTCACTCACACTCACTCACACACACATACTCACACACTCACTCACTCACACACACACACATACTCACTCACTCACACTCACTCACTCACACTCACTCACACACACATACTCACACACTCACTCACTCACACACACACACATACTCACTCACTCACACTCACTCACTCACACTCACTCACACACACATACTCACACACTCACTCACTCACACACACACACATACTCACTCACTCACACTCACTCACTCACACTCACTCACACACACATACTCACACACTCACTCACTCACACACACACACATACTCACTCACTCACACTCACTCACTCACACTCACTCACACACACATACTCACACACACTCACTCACTCACTCACACACTCACACACACATACTCACACACACATACTCACTCACTCACACACACTCACTCACACACACACACACACTCACACACTCTTCTTCTGTTCACAGCGGAGACGCAGAAGAAGCTCCCTCCTGCTGCAGCTGCAGACAAACCCAAGAGCAGCAGAAGAGCAGCGGCGGCGAGCCACACTGAAGTGATGGATGTGGAATAGAGCAGATTACAGCACCTGGGTTTGGATGGACCTCAACTTGTGTACATCTGTTGCTATAAGTGTGTGTGTTGAAAAAAGAATAAACTTTGTGAGAGACGCAGTTAGAGTCATCAAGTGGATCTGCACGACATCTGCCTACAGTTTCCACAAAGATATTCATCGTCTTTTCAACATTGATAATAATCAGAAATGACCCTGGAGCACAAAAGCAGTGTTAAGTCGCTGGAGTATATTTGTAGCAATAGCCAACAATACATTGTATGGGTCAAAATGATACATTTCTCTTTTATGCCAAAAATCATTAGGATATTAAGTAAAGATCATGTTCCATGAAGATATTTTGTAAGTTTCCTACCGTAAATATATCAAAACTTAATTATTGATTAGTAATATGCATTGCTAAGAACTTCATTTGAACAACATTAAATATATTTATTATTAGGTATTTAGAAGTCCTAGGTGTATTTATGTCCCTGATTTTAAAATCATCTGGAATCATCAGCTGTATTAGCGCGCATGCGCAGAAACCTCATTTTCAGTTCACTTCCCATCTTAATAGATTTAACTGTAATATAGATATATCTCATACATTTTGACCAATGTCCAGCAATACCCAAGACATAATAAACATGACCAATTTACAGCTAGAGTTCATGGCCTAATCTAACCTTTAAAATGATGCATTAAGTAAAACTTGTTGAAAGCATTAAGATATATTTGCAGACACATCCATGCAGTAAAACATGTTTAAAGCGCGATGAAGTAAAATAACATTAGTATTAACCAGTCCATCTTCTCCTCACTGAACTGAATTGCATTCAGAAGCGCAGATGTGATGCAGACGCAGACAGACCAGAACTACATTCACTCCGCTTCAGTTCAGTTCAGCTGCATAAACATGCAATGAGAAGAAATTAAAAGTTCACTCAGTTTTATTAAAAAAAGATCATTTAATTTGTTACAACAGCTTATAGACGCGACTGAATGAGCTGTACACATCCGTTTTTATACAATGTTTTACATGTAAAGCATCAATGAACAAAAACGCGAGTTAGTGGAAATTTCATGACTGACGAGAAACCAAATGTTGGTCACCTCTGAACACATCCTTGCAAAGCACCATGGGAATCAAAATAAAACACCAATAATGACCAAAAACAAACTCCTGTCATGAAAATGGAGCATTTAAAGCATTTCTGTAGTGAATTAATCCGGCTCACTCTTTCAAAGTGCTTTAGACATTTTTCCCACAATTCCAGCAACCAGACACATGACCCCTCACACACGGGGTCAGAGGTCAAACTGAGCCGACAAATGCTCAACTGACGAGTCTACTGCCGGTGACCATCAGCTGCTTCCTGTACACTGATCCTTACACACAGACACAGACACACACACTCACACACACACTCACACTCACACACACTCACACTCACACA